GTTTTGACAGCTGTCGATTGACCATAAAATGGATATAGAATATCACGGTGCAGGCGCCCACACTAGCTAGAAAGTGTGACATTTCATGTTGCCCTGGTTGGCCTGTGGTGCGAACTGAGGGCGAACTGTTGTACAGTCACATGACTACCAAAATTTCTCAAATGGATATAATTTTCTTATGCCCCATTCAGACTAATTAAACAGGTTTAATGAAACTAGGCTTTAAAAAATGTAAAACAGTAACAGAAAACTTCAACACAGTATTTTGAACGAAATTCTAACGAACTTTAACATTGTTATGTAATTAATTGCACTAATTTGCCATGCTTTGCGAGAGCATGGAGCTCTGCGATTATTGGATGCATCAAACATTACAAAGCAATATTACCGCGATAACCTCAACACCGGAGGAGTCTGAGTTTATTGAATCCCCACCTAAATCCACAAAATTTTAAACAAAATTCATGACAGATTATGGGCTGCAGATTGAAAGAATGGCCTAACTGCAGCAAAATCCAGCTCACTTCATGCCACAGATATTTTTTGTTTCATTTTCTCATTAATCTTCACGGTTTTTTTGGGATCATTGTCAAAATTTTCTACAAAATTAAAGTATCTGATTCTATACCTGCCAAATCTCATGCTTGCGGATCAAAGACATTGATCAAAAACCGGCAAATTTTTCCTTGACAACTTAATTTAATATTCCGAAAAGGAGCTAACTGTTGACTGTTTGCTAACTTTATCACATCACACTAATTATTGTCACCTTCGGAGGTACTCAAAAGTCGGCGGAATTTTTTTCGGATATTTTTCGGCACTGTTCGGAAGTCTTCGGAAAGTGGTCGGAAGTCGCTGGGACTATTTCCGAAATCCTGGTCATTACAAGACGAAAATCTCACGCATTTGGCTCGGAAAAAGTTGGCAGGTACATGACTCTCATATAAATACTGTAAGCTTTAATATCGCTTGAATACAAATGTAATCTATTTTGCCTTTTTCCTGAGAAACGAAAATACAAGGGATCGTACCTTTCGCAGGAAAATGAAGGGCACTCACCTCGATTTTTCCACTTCGTTTGGTCCCCGGTTTAAGATATGTAACACCAGTGATCTTCCAAAGCGAAAAAACAGTCTTACAAAACATTTTAAGATAACAAAAGCAACATTTAACAAAGGAAACTGCACGAATTACCTGGCAGTCATCGTCCGAACTGTTGTCTGAATCCATGTTTGCTTTCCATGTGATCCTGAGCTGAGTTGGCGGGAAAGTATTGGAGCCTTCACTCATATGCGGTCAGTTCAATGAACCAATTGCCCATCCCTCGCTTTTTTTCATTCATATTACAAGCCAATTTCTTTCTTTCTTTAGTTTTATTTTTTGGGCTCTTTAGTTATGTTTATATTTATTGTCTTACTTATCTCTTGCTATTATTTTTTTTTAAATTTTACAAATTTTTCATGTTCCGGGATGTTCAGGAATGTTCCGGAATGTTCCGGCATGTTCCGGAATGTTCCATGTTCCGGGTTTTATCGACGGCCTGGTAAGAGTTATATCTCTTTGCATTACCTTTCTATCTAACTTTCTGGCTTGAGTTTCCTCCGACAGAGTCACGCGGACTTACCACTAGTTACCGGTGGGCTAAGAACTCGGCTGCGGCCACTAATTGATGGGCGAGGAATTGGATGCGAGGCTGCTCTTAT